AAAATATTCGTCTCCTTCAGAGACAGAGCAAAATGGACAAAGCTCCTTGGTTGTGGATAAGGATAATCAAGCAGATTCTGACGTTGCAGAACAGGATAGTGTTAAGAAACCATGGGTAGCTGAGTTGCGACCCTATTTTAAATATGAAAGCACTCAAAAAAATAATGCGGGCAGAATGGTAATTACAATGGCGTGCAAGTTATGTCCCGCGATTAATTCCTCAGGCGAAGACAAGCCAACTACAATTACAGACAAGACCAGGTTCAATTTTGCTCGACATTTGCAGGTCACTTGAACTCTTTAGCTTTGCTAAATATATTTACGAAACAATTATTAATTTTTGTCTAAGGATAATGAGGGTTGTACATATGTATGTATTTCAGAGAGCCCATCCAATGCAGCACAAAATTTATGAAGAAGATACATCTGCCCAGGGTAGCAAATCAGTGCCTACCAGCGATGGTACTGCGTCCTTTATTATACAAGGATTGAAGAAACCTAATGTTAATCCGATCGACCTATATCCGGCAAAACATTCAGTTCAGCAAAATTTTGAAAAAGCTCTGCTGGAATTTTTCGTACTTGATTGCGTTCATTTGGATCTAGTGAGCAGACTTGGGTTTCGTCGATTGTTATATCACCTTAATCCAAAGCTTCAAATCCCACATCGCAGAACCCTAAACCGTCGTTTGGATGCGCTGCATAAGCAGGTTTAATTAATTCGAATTAAACTTACCGACTTGACTTACCGCGTGAATACCGACTTAATTGAAATTAATTTTCTAGATATCTGACCTCTCGCACACTTTACTGAGGTCAATGCAGCCACGAACAGTGCACCTGGTCGTGGATATATGGTCATCCAGACAGAAGAAGTCTGTCATCGGGATAAAGGCTCAATTTATTAACGGCTGGAGGCTGCACCAAGTTATTTTGGGGTTCCGACACTTCCCCGAATCACATACCGGGGAGAACATTAAGAAATGCATAAATTCCCTTTTGGAGGAATACGGCCTCACAAGGGACCAGGTAATTTTGCCGAAAACTTAAAATTTCAAAATGTGCATGGCAAGGGCCGCTTGCCAGTTTTTTTACGCTATATACATATTTATGCGTATAAATATTAACTACATTATATATATATATGTAGGTGGGCACAGTCACTGCTGACAATGCGTCGAATGTTCTGGCAGCGTTTAAAATCTCAAACTTGGATGTTGACCACGTTACCAGCCTTACCGTGGAAGATGACGGCGACGAGGAGCCGCCGGAGATTATGTTGGATACAGAGGAATGTGACATCAATCCAGATAATACAGACTCCGAATGGGGTGACTTGCAAGGCGATCATCAAGACGATGAAGAAACTATTCAGATGGATTCGACAATCGAAAGAAATGGCTGCTTATCTCATCTTCTCCAGCTAGCGGTGAAGGACGCCTTCTCTGAATGCACTTTAGCAACCGAATTGATTCAAAAAGTTAACCGAGTGGTTAATTTTTTCCACAAGAGCAATTTCTGGTACAATCAACTTAAGGAAAAGGTCAACAATCTATGTTGTTGAAACCGTGCACTACGAGATGGAACTCACAATTCCATAGTCTGAAAAGGATTTTTGGCAATAATCGCCAAGAGGTAATTTCAATATAATTAAGGATCATGAAATTCAGTTTTTAGTTTACTGGTATGTTTTATTTCAGATTGATTTTGTAGGAAAAATTAATAGCGCGCTCAGTGAAGCAAGGAACAAAGCGCCACGCCCGCGTGCCAAAAAAAATGACACAAAAAAGAAAATGGTAATTTGAAATTTAATAAAAATATTAATATTTTGGTAATGACATACTTAGGTTCATAAACACTTTTAGGGTCCTGCAAGTCGCATTGGTCACGTAGAATCGGCACCTCGTAAAGAAAAAGTTCCCCCTAATTTCGATGAAGATGATGTTATCGCACTTAAGACTATAATGGAATTGCTGGAGCCTTTTTCTGAATTAACTGATAAATTACAATCGGATGGTGTGACGTCTTCATTGGTTATTATTGGAGTCATTCATGCTGTTAAATGTAATACACAGTGTGGATATTGATTTGAAAATGTGATGTTTTCAAGTCTAATCTCAATTGCTATTTTGCTATGCAATTTAAATAGGTGCGAAAGAAGTCTTAATTGAGGAGGATATAGAGCCGGAGCTAATCAATAAGCTTTGGGAATTTAAGAACACGTTATGCTCGTCAATAGTGATACGATTTACACGTGATATGGAGACCGGTGACCCAATAATTAACGATTTGACAGGAAAACGACGCCGAATTGTAACTTACAATGTTATGAAAAATAAAAATTTCGTCTTGGCGACCCTGCTGGACCCACGTATGAAAGTTGTCCCTTTTAACGGTCAGTGAAGTATAAAAACCGCATTATTTGTGACTTATATTTTTACTGAGTATTTATTTATTTTCTAGATGACAGCGTGGATGACGATGAATTTAAATCCCACCTCCCCACTGCGGACGAGGCAATAAAATATTTGAGAGACGAAGTCAAAAATCTGAAACCTATTACAATTACCCCCCAATCACCAGATGCAGACAAAAATGTGCCTGAGCAAGAGCAGCCAGTAAATAAGAAGAAACGAACCATGTTTGACTTAATTGCTACTCCACGCAATGATTCCAAAGCCACTTTTGACGAGGTGGATGACTACCTAAGTTCGTCCCTGCTGGAAGAAACAGATTCGCCTTTGCAGTATTGGGAGCGCCACAAAGAGAAGTACCCGTTCTTATCTGCCCTAGCTCAGATATACTTATCCATACCGGCGTCGTCTGGAACAGCAGAAAGATTATTTTCATCCGCTGATTCCCTTAATCGAGCGCGACGGGCTCGATTGACTATCGAAAATATAGAGAAAATGTTGTGCTGTCAACAATATCTTCTAAATACCCTTGATTGCCCTTTGGATAAATAAAGCTCCGATGACGACTAAGAATATGAATAAACGATTTAATGTTAGAGCTTTACATTTGGTGATAAATACATACATATGTTATTTAGATCTCAGTAACTCATTTTTATTTGTTGGAACACTTTTAAATGAATAAACAATTAACTTTTTAGCCGTACTAACCATGAAAATATCTTTCTTGGTCACCATTTCCACATTCCTTGTGTTCATTTCATAATTTTTTAGATTTGCGAGTTTTACGAAGTGTTGAAATTGGTTCTATAAAGTATGGGGAAAATGTGGAAACCCGAAATTTAGATCCTGTCCAACTCCGCTTCTGAAAAATTTTGTCGGAAGCGGAGGCATCGGAAGCCGGAAGCACAAATTTCGTCGGAAGCGGAGGCATCGGAAGCCGGAGGCACCAATTTTGTCGGAAGCGGAGGCATCGGAAGCCGGACGCACAAAAGTTGGCCTGGAAGCGGAGGTCGGAAGCGGAGGCAGTTGGAAGCTGCGCATCTATGGGTGCGAGTAGGCATGATTTAGTCACCTATGATGATTATATTGGCACGGTTTTTTTCAGCAAATTTAGCATAACTTTACAAAAAGATGGAATTTGGTGAAACTGTTGATTGGAAATGAAAGAGCATAAGTATCGCCACAATTACTAGGGTTGAATTAGTAAGTAATTTACTTGTGGTAAAGGATACGAAGCTGGATAGATGTACATTTAAATGACGATGTTGAGAGATTCGTATCTTTTACCACAAGTAAATTACTTACTAATTCGAACCTAGCAATTGTGGCGATACTTATGCTCTTTCATTTCCAGTCAACAGTTTCACCAAATTCCATCTTTTTGTAAAGTTATGCTAAATTTGCTGAAAAAAACCGTGCCATTTGTTCAGCATTGCGCGATATGGTGAGAGAGATGTCGCAAGTATCTCCCTTTCACCTTTAAACCTTTACCATCAAACCCCGTAAGCAAGGAGAGCCATATATTGTGACACGCGATACATTCGTGGAAGTCAGACAGGCTTTAATTACTTTTTGCAATTGTCAAATAATATTTAAAAAATCATTGTATCAATTCGTGGAAATCCATTGAATTTTAACTGATTAGTTTAGTTAATTAACGTAATTACTGCAGAGTACATACAATATGGAAAGATTATCACATTTACCACATAAAACTCGGTACAAACAATAGACAAATTTTCCATGTACTACATACGCACAGCCTCTTACTACATAGTTAGTTAGCATCCATCTATTTATAATAAAGCCTACGTACGTATTTATGTACTTATCTAAACTACATATATATGAGTAATCAATACCGAGCAGAGAAAAATTTACACAGTATCGAGTGCATATGCGAGGTTTCAAGTAATATAAAGCAGAGGGGATTAAATTTCAGCAATTGTCTTGTCATGTTGACTAAAATTGATTAACCAATCCCGTCCCGGAATCACAATTATCCAATTTGTGACGCCCAAACAATCCGACCTCCAACATTGGACATTGGTTGGGTAATTTCCCACTAACGAGGGAACCTTTTTGGTGTCATGAGGTCCCAGCATAACTACTATGCTGGAAAAAAACATCTGTAATTTTTTCAAAAATTGTACAATTTTCCAAATTTCAGGATGGTGTTCCAAATTTTTTTTTTCGAAATTTCAGAATTTTTTTTCAAAGTTTCAGATTGTGAGTAAATGCCATTGAGATTTCAGAAGTGAGATGAGCTAGGGGCGTGTGGTGAAAAGTATGCTTACGCTGTTAACAACAAGGGCAAAAGTGACGGTTCCGCGCGTCAGAAAAATCGTGACCACGTGTCCAAATTTCATTTTAACACCTAAATTTATCACATCATCGGACTAGTATTTAAAAATACGTCGAATGTATATAGTGGTTATGCTGGAAGCTCTAAGCACCAAAAAGGTTTCCCTCGTAAGTTGCACAATGCAATCTTATCAGCATTAAATTCCACATCGTATAAAACCTTTATAAAAACAAGTCTACCTTACCTACTAATTCGCAAACTCTTCTACCCTTTTGAACATGAAGGTAGCGATCTTCGTCGCCTTAACGCTGGTCGTCCTGACCTCGGGGAGTCAAACTGGCCTTCGACATTTCAAAGGGTTGGATCCAACCTAAGTATATAATTATTACTCCTTTAATAGTTAACATAACTTGCCTTTGTTTAACAGCTACCAAGTCATCTCAGCTTTGGCGACAACGAGAGAACAGTTGGACGCCTTGAGGGTGCTCTACTTTATCAACGATTATGATTTCTGGACATCGCCAAACGGCCTTGGGGCCACCGACATTATGGCCGCACCAGAACTGATCCCACAACTAGTACAGCTTTTAACGGAGAAAGGCATCGAGTTCGCGATTAAATTTGATGATGTAGAAAAGTAAAGAGAACTTTTTAAATCTGCTCATAATTCTTTGTCACCATGTGTTTACATAATATGTAAGTACGTAGGTTGGTGGAAGATGAACGAATCGCAAATGCAAAGGCGTCCATTGGAAGAATCGACTGGACTTCGTATCAGCCCTACGACAGCGTTAGATAATAACATTTTTTTTAAATAAATTTACATATTTAAAATATTTAGCCTATATTTTTGCCAGATCGTACAATTCTTGACGACCATAAATTCCAATATTGCCACTGTATCCGTAATTGGACAAACTACGGAAGGACGGGACATTCATGTTGTCAAATTCTCAAGTGGCGGGCCGCCCAAAAAGTCTATCCTTATCGACTCCAATATCCACGCAAGAGAATGGATCGCTGGGGCAACGGGAACTTGGATTATTAACGAACTTCTAACAAACTCTGCCAACTATACTGCTATCCTTCAAGAAGTCGACATATACGTCATCCCCATGATCAATGCTGATGGTTATGAATACACTTGGACTTCTGATCGCATGTGGAGGAAAACTCGAAGTGTCAATGCGGGCAGTTCCTGCATGGGTTGTGATCCTAATCGGAATTTCCCCTTCCAATGGGGTAATATGACATTTTGCCACTCTTGTGGAGACACATAATACATATCTTAACTATTCCTACTAGCCGGTGAATCCACATCGTCCGACCCCTGCACTGACATTTATCACGGCTCAGCACCACTCACAGAGCCTGAGACGCAGGCAATCGACCGTTTCGTAAGGGAGTCAGAAGCGGCAGGAGTAGAGTTTTACGCCTACGCGTCTCTTCATTCCTATTCTAACGTAATGATAATAAATCTAAAAGACTAAATAAGGAAGAAGCCATCATAGGATATGTGTTTTCAGTTGTGGCTTATCCCATGGGGCTATACTACTGGAATGTATCCCCCAGATTTCCCATCACTGGTAAATGAAGTAATATAATTTTGGTAAACCTGGTACATTGGTTGATAACAATTCCTGCATAGTTGAGCCTGGGGCAAGATGCTGTAGCGGCGTTGCAAGCGGTTTCGGGGACAATTTATCAAGCAGGACAAGGCGCTGATATACTCTGTATGACACATGTTCGAACTGATTTTTGCAATGTTAAAACACGTAATATCTACAATTCATCATAGATGGAGCCGATGGAACTAGTTACGACTGGGCGAAAAACCACGGGATTAAGTACAGTTGTACAATTGAGATGAGAGGAAATTCCTTTGTTCTTCCACCAGAGCAAATTATTCCGAATGCGCTCGGTTTGGAAATACAATACTCGAATCACCCCAGCACCTCACTAATTCTTATTTTTCTTTGCCCCTTCAGAAGTCTGGGCTGCGCTCAAGGTCTTAATTCAACGGGTAATTGAGACCGTTCCGGTGGAAGAAGATCCCACACCTGTAGAGACGGGTATGTCATTTACAAAAGTAACTGCTGAAATCACATCCTTCTCGAATAAAATTTTCCAAATGATAAAAATAGTGACTACATGCGGTGGAGATATCGAGGCCAGCTCAGCCGCAATTAATTTTCAGCTGGACACTGACATCCCTCCGGGTCAAAGTTGTGTCTGGATTGTCAAGCCAAACTTTGAGAGTACTAGGGTCAGACTCGTTTCATCCGGTCTTCTGGCCGGGTCTGGAATTTATTTCACCGAATTAAATACATATTCTGGTACCCCTGGGGAACAAGTCCAAATGTAAGTGTTGTACAAGTAGTTACAAACATTTACAAATACTACACTCAATAATTAAACGAACCACTTAAACAAAATTAGCGCCAATATCGGCCAAGATTACACCATCCGTGGGAACTTCTTCCTTGTTACTCTCACAGTTACAGTCGGGGCGAACAAAGGATTTAGTTTAGAGTGGTACTCAAGTGGGCTAGCAGGAGGCGCCCCATCTTTTTCCGGATTTGCCTCCCTCACCACGCCGACTGGTTCGTACAGCTATCCAGTTGGAGGTGGCGAGTACGGCAATTCGGAAAATGCCCTCTTCATCATTAACCCTGCCTTGGCAGGGTTAATGATGAAGAGGGCATTTACAGCATTAACCCTGCCAAGGCAGGGTTAATGATGAAGAGGGCATTTACAGCTAAGCCCTGTGGCCTAGTGGGTTGGGGGTTTGCCTGTCACCACGCAGGTAGACGTTCGATTCCATCTATGGCCGGGAAACTTTGCTAATCCTACTCGGCTCGGTGTATGTACGGGGTAGGTATCTCCCACGGTTGCTAGTATGGGACTAGCTTAAGCCGTGAAACATTCCACACCCTGTACACTACCCGGCTTGTCCATGGCCTTGGGCTCTTGCAGAGTGTGTTGGGAGATCCCAGTAGAGCACCCAGTCTCTATTGGATGAGCACGAACCTCACAAATATTAAATGGTATAGAGGCTAGGCGACGTCACCCGTGGAAGAGCATGCTAGGCATGAAAATGCTGTAAAGCGTGAACGGAAAAGACGGAAAAGCAGTACATTTTACATTTTACATTTTTTTTTACAGGAACTAGAACCCTGGATGTTGAAAATGATTCAACCTGCTCGTATGACGCGGTTTCCGTCCTCTCTTGGCAAAATAACCAGTATACACAGATTACTAGGTAAGTTCCGAGATATACATGGCATTAAGTGAATGAGAGTGAGGCGTGTAAATAGTATTTAACGTTTTCAACAGGTTTTGTGGGACATCTCTGCCTGCTCCGTTCAACCTCCCTACCGGTTTGGCCTTCGTAACATTTAAATCGGACAGTAGCGTCACTGGGACTGGGTTCACCTTTACCTGGGCTTAAATCTTACAATGTTTGATTCGGATTACATACTAGTTATTTACAATTATGAAATTTAATACAAGCTCAGAAGATTATTAAATAAAAGACAAAATAAATTATCTAGCCATTTCTTCAGTATGACAAACATGTTTTGAGTAAATTGTAATTACACAATCATGATGTGCTTCTTAAATATCGTGATTCTTTGTTTTATTACAACGCTAAAAAAGAAGTTCATTTGCTGTTTCGTAAAATAAAGTTAAAACCGTTACCACTCGACCGAGTGGTAACGGTTTTATCACCTCAAGGTAACAGTCGAAACAACGTGACCGCATGGTTACAATTTTAACCAGGTTATTTGCAGTGTAGTTGTGCTTTGTTTGGAAAAATATACAGCTTTGCTACTTCCTAACGTAAAAAATGGTGTATGCATTTCTAATATGGCAATATATTTTTGATAATCGGATTACAAAAATCTTCGAACGTACATATTATGACAAAACACGATGCTTTGGAGTGTCGAACTGTTTGAATTGTCAAGCCAAGTGGAGTGATAAATAGACATGCTGCTGTCAACGTTAAATTTTGTGGAATAGATTTGTATCAGCTTTGAAAAGTATTTAAATTGTGAAATGTTCCTTCTTCAAAACTGCTGTGTATGGTTAAATAAATATGTTGGTAAATTATGTGCATATTTACTCATCAGTTACAAATTTATGTACATGACTTTTACAAAAAAACAGGTCATGGAACAAATTTTATTTTGGAAAACTTGTACAAAAAAATGAGATCTTTATTCATTCATTTCTCTAAAATATATTCAATTTCGTCCTCCTTCCTGTGTCCAATAAATAATATATAAGTTTCAACAAAGAACATGATTTCCTCGTCAATTTCTTTCGTATCGTGTACAATCTTGAGTTTATCGATGCCCTCGTCACGGTCAAACTCCCAGGAATTTTTTCCTCCAAAAAAAGGATCCAACCAACCCTGTGTACTTTGGAGACATTCTTGTGCAAAATTTCGTATGTGAAACTGCTTGGCAATTTTGATACAGCCGTCGACAAAAATATCATAGTAGCATTGGTAAATGGGATGTGTTTTGCAGGGTTTCGTGATGAATTTTGGTTTCGGGACATAAATCCAGAATCTGATTAGTCTCCTGGAATTAAAAAAAATAACAATTAATATATTTTGTTGAAACTTGATATTATAATAAATTTTTTCCAAAGTTTATTTATGTAAATTTTAAAATTAAAACGATGAAAATTGGTTAACAATTGAGAGAGCATTCCCTTCCGAAATGGCTGGAAATTAACTACAAATTATGTTAAAAATTGTGTCCATGAAAAAAAAATGAAATCACATTTGTAACCTTTAATAATAATACATAAATGCAACGAAACACTTGATTGATTGTTGCAAAAAATTGCAAAAATTTATCAACAAAAATACAAATTACAAGTACTTGTTAAATAAACAAGTTTGAAATTTTAGTGCGGTTTGGTACAGTTACAGTAATAAATAAGTCTTGGTTGAAGAGGGACCTTGATTATTTACTATTACAAAATTGTTTGCAAAAACAAAACCAAATCCTATCTCACGGTTCTCTTTATGGTACCGTTTTTAATTTTAACACAATTTTTGCACAGCATTATTTTACAAATTTTATAAAATCACAAATGTAATTAGTAAGAAAGGTTTAATAGCCTTACTTTTCTTGACTAATGAGATCCTCCTCATCCAAAAATTGGACATTGTCCACACTCACCACTCGCCTCTTGTAATATTTCTCCCTCTCGTCAAACTCCAAAAGGGTGGCGTAGTTTTTAACGGGAAATGCCACACCGATAAAATGGGACGAATTATTTTCTTCCACTCCGAGAAATGTGGTATTTTTCCCCATGTGGATTCCACCACAGTTGAAAATTCTCTCGTAACCTTTCACCAAAACAGGGAAGGCAGGGCCACAACCGGGATGTGTGACCTCTTTGGAGTCTCCATTTATTAATGAGCCATATCCCAGGATGAAATTGGTTGTGGGTTCGATCCGGGGACACTTTTTGGTTGAGACCAATGTCTTATTGAGGGATTGTGAAGATGAGCTCCCATTTGTTATCTTGGGATGCTTTGGTTTGCACATTTTGTCCCCTGTTTTGTTCTCATTTGAATGCACGCGATTTTAGAAGACCTTAATGTATGTAATTATGTACATAGGAAGATAAATATGTCTGATTTTCAAACTTTATCTTGAAACTATGCACCCTTGTAAATATTTATTATTATTCGTGTATATGTAAAAGTAATTTATTCTTGGATAAATATGTATTTTTCAGCAAAAAACTCTCCACTTTTATTAGTATAAACCGATTTAGTTAGAAATTTGCAGGTGGTGTAACCAACCGACAATCTGTGAATGATTGCTTGCTGTGTGAATTCCGGGGTTAAATATGATAAAGCGTGTGTGATTGCAGTCAGTCACGATACTTGGTTGAGAGACAGAGGAGAAGAAGTGGGAAGGAACGAGATGTATTTCCTAGCATGGAATTGTATGTACAGTTTTGTGCATGTGCAATTGCGTGTTTTTGTACCACATACGTTTTGCCCAGTGTTGTTGTTGATACGCTGGGTATGAAGTGTACGTGCAACATAACTCGTAGAATGAGCTCAATTCTTTCCCTTGTAAAACTGTATGTATTCATCCATACGCACGACCACGACTGTTTACTCGGGATGAGTTGGTACGTATGTATGCACAACTACAAACTGGTGCACGATTTTGTACGTACGTATACGCTCTTATCTATGTAGTAAACTGGTAATAATTTCATAACTGCGGGTAGAGTCGTATACAGATATGTATGTATGCATACAGTCCGTTCTGGTTATGATATTATACAGATTTAACACTGGATTAATAATAATTCTAGTTCTCTAAAAAAATTATTTCAGGTCATATCTTTAAAATTTTAGGATGAGCAAGTAGGTAAATCGTGTACATAAATTATCTACTTATTAATACCTGAGTAGGAACGAGCCGACCGATCCATTATGAACAAAGTCATCAGAAATGGGAGAGCAAGGTTGGTCATCCTTCCTTACCCCTGATCTGCGTGGTTGGACTCGCGCTAGTCCACCAGTGCAGGGCCGGCACATTTATTAACATTCGTGTGACATGGATTTAGCCAGTATTAAAAAAATAGCAGCGCTAATTTTTTAGCGCAAGTCATCATTACTAATTAAAATGAGGGTAGGTTTTAAATTTTGAATGATTCGGATAAGTCAAATTAGCTTTTTGGGCTTATCTTAATTTCTCGATAAGCGACGCCGATAACCCTAGATGTACTTGTTAATATTTCTACAAGATCGTCAAGCTAAGCTACGAAAATAAGTATGAAGTAAATGGGACAACTTTTTTCAGCTTATCTTAATCGCATGATAAGTGATCTTGATAAGCCTAAATATATTAAATACCAGTACAAATCATGTTATCTAGGCAATATAAACAATAAGAAAGAAATTAATTTTGTTAAAAGTATTTTCTGTTATTTCGACTTTGGGGTTTGAAAAAGGTTGGTACGCTCATTACTGACCGCCACCCCCCTTAAACTTCCCCTTTCGATATTTCATGGTTGCAGTTTCGGGTTCCAGTCGGGTAAAATTTTTTCATATTCAGAATCTTGGAAACTTTCCGAATCCATCGAGGAAATTTGGAACCCGAAACTGCAACCGACTCAAAAATCAATCATTAGATAGCAGGGGGCACACCCCTAACAGTGAAAATTATCACTTTTTGACCCTGCCAAAAAATAGTTCTAAAATATTAAAATGGATGTCAAATGGGACATCTCATCAAATTTTGACTCATTGTGAATCTTTTGAAACTTAAAAAAGCTTAAAAAATTCAGTTAATGATTTATTCAGTGGGTGTGGTTTTACAAATTAAAAAACGGAATACACAGTATTTTTGTATGTTGTAAGTTTAATTTGTACTAAAAAAATTGGATCATTTCGCGATATGATGCCGCAATGGACCAGATCGGGTGGCTCGTTCCGACTCACCTACCATTTGGTATATGGGTCGACAATTGGTCATTCGAAAAAATGGGATTTAGGGTGCATACAGTTTCCGTCGTCACCGAGTATGGCTGCATCCCTGACTCTATCGATCCGAGAGGGGAATCTCTCATTCTATGGAGTTAACCACCCCAGCTATGGGAAACCTCCTCCCCCAAGTCCCACCACCACACTGTGTTGTGAGGGCTAGATCCCGAGAATTCGGGATACGCGAGGTTATAGAATCCGATTTTTGTAATGATGAGTGAAGAAAATCCCGTAACTTAAACGCTAAATCACTCTATTTAACGTCCAATTTAATGACAAGTAGTGAGACCGTACTGATTCCGGCGCCGCCGAAAATTGGCGCGAGTTCAAATTTTTCGTTTACGGTCTAATTTTTCACCCTAAACGCAAATTCGCATTCTATCAATTGCTCCGGAGGATCAGATGGTAAACAATAAACGAAAAAAAGTCACGTTCCATCAAAATGAGATCAAAAGGCACCCCAAAACTGATGGTTGCTAGAAGATATTGTGCCTATGGTGTGAGCGAGATAAATATTTTTTTCGAAATCTCAAATTATAACACGAAAGTAATACAAAGAGTTAATTTTACCACTATAAAGTGATGCCACTGACTCATCTCTATTGTTGAACATAACAGCAAGACAAAAATAACTTATCGATAATTTGTTATCCATTCTGAAGGATTATGCGGATAAAGATCCTTAACCAAACGAACCTGAGTGGAATTCAATCCGCCAAAAGTGGTTTTCATTTCCGGTTAAGCAATTAGAAAAATTGTCACAGCCGTTTAACAACAGGATTGAGGAAATGCTGAACAACAGTGGTGAGGACACTAGATATTAAGGTGTACGCCATAAAAATTTAAGGAACCTGCTATTAATATTTGTAAACATAATAGCACTTAAAATTTGTCATTTACAGTTGGGCTGATGTTAAGGATTACTTAAAATACTTACTATAATTACTTAAAATAGGAGGCTCGTACATATTCTTTAAAATTATCATAGGTCAATTTATTAACATCTAAATCTTTGGGTAGGTTGTTCCATAATTTGGAAGCTCTATATATACATAATAGATTTTCTGAAAATTTCAGATGAAAATTTATCTATAATTATAAGTGGACATTTTCTGTAGTTATTATTATGGGAGAAATTTAGATTACCATTTATCATATTCTTATATGCACATTTAAAATCACAAAATCCCTTCTTTCAATTATTGTTGAAAAGTTACACTTTCTCCTTAGTTCAATAATTTTACATTATATTTAAATCGATTTTTTCTCGACATACTGTGAAAATTAAAATATTGAAGTGTACCTAAGTTGTCAAAACCAAGAAAATTAGATGAGGAACAATAATTATGTATTGTAATTACATTGCATGTTGCCGTATAATTATGTATGTAAATTACTTTACTCTAAATAATGTTGGGACAAAATTTATGCATACAAATATTCCGATACCAGTATAGGTGTTATCCAACAGAAACTGGAACACTGATATAACTAACTGCATACTTATTTATTCTTGATAAGAATAGCCCAGTCTCTGTCTGTGTGTCTGGCGGAACGCATCCCTTCAATGTATAAGAAAATGACTATTGAAGTATGGCAGCAAGGATTGAACTACCTGATATTCCGGTGGTTCCGGACAGCCCGGTGGTTCCTGACAGCCCGGTGGTTTACCAGACCATGAAGTTTAAAGACATATGGGCCCCTGCCAGGAAGATCGACATGCCGCACATACCGGTGGTTCCGTAACCGATAGCAACTAGTCATTTTAGTGGGACCAGTTTATTTGCAAATTTATGCAATAATGAAAAATCGAACGTATTTATGTCGAGACATTTAGTGAAGATGTATCGCAGAAATATATAATAATTGATAAATTGCGTCGATTCAGGTAGAATGCATGGAAATGTGAAAAAACTAAAACGTATAAATTGTAGACATTATCTTAACGGTATCAAGGATAACTTTGATTTTTTATTTTTCAAATGTAAAACGTATAAAATTGATATGTGCAAAATGAAAATTTTAGTTTGTTAAGCCCTCTTATATTTGTTTGCAAAATATTATACGGACTAGCTAGGTTGATATTTCATTTATTTGCAAATCATATCTTAGGAAATGTGGTGTTAACAAATACATAATTTAATGTATCATTATTTTTTTTAATTAAAAAGTTGCAAAATCCTAAAAGTATTTCTTAAATAGACTGGAAATAATCCAGAAACAAGTTATCAGACGGTGGTAGCGATGTGCGAGTTTACCGCTTCATAATTATAAATTGGTTCTTGGTTTGTATTAAAAATTTATATATCGTGGTCTTATTTCCAGATCATAATAATTTTCGCAGTGTAAAACCTATTACTTTTAGTTGTAAAGCTGGGTATATAGGATTGTGTTTATTGCAGGTAAAGTTCGAATATTTTGACACCGGTATGTGCAGAACTTTCGCACATTCCGTGGGTTTGGACATTCCAGTGGATAAAATGGATCTCGTCTTCTACACGGGCTATAGCCTAGTTTATGTATATTGAGATTATGTCTATACATACCTGTATCCTAAATTTTGTCATAAAATTCCTAGCCTGTTTTGCAATTAATCTGTTGCTATGTGACATTGGCAATACACATTACTTTGGACAGTACGGCCACGGTCGATTTATTTATCAGTATTGGATTAAAATAAGTTGGGTACAATACATAACTTTTATTTATTCCTAAAACAAGAATATTTTTATTCAAAATTTTGACAATTTTCCAAGTCTCATTTATCCAAACTGTTCACATATTGAAAATCATCGTGGCATGGCAACTGACGTGATTCAAATTGGCCCCATGCTCGACCTTATTTACACCTGCGATCTAATCATCTTACACGATGGAGTAGACTCGCGTACATTTCACACCAAGGAAAATCACCTCCCAACCAAAGTCCTATTCCACGAGACGTTCAACAAAAACATAGGTCTTGGCAATTTGGTATTCCCGTCCATCGATGTGGCAAAATCACGCTTTGCTCCTTGTCGAGTAGCCATATTTCTTCTGAAATTTTTTACTTCGTTAAACTCAGAGCCGATAAATCCATTTGGACTTGAGCCTTGGATTGTTCTCTTGAACGAGAAAAATTTCTATTACGTTTCCACGGAAATAAGTCATCGGGTCCACCTACCAGCCAGAAACGTTTTCGCAGTTGTTGTCCTCCATCTTGAGAAGGGCGAAGGTTCCAAGCTATTACTATGGGCTCAATACTGGTTCGGCGCAAAAATTTACAACTTTGCCATAGCCCATGTTTCTCCGGGTGGAGGGTTGACCCGCTTGTGCGTCAAGCGTCAACATGGCGACGATATTGCTCCGCGAAATTTGAATTGTTGCGATAAAATTGAAAATCT